AGCCGCCACCGAGCCGCTCACCTGGAGCGGTGTTCCTGCCCGGACTACGTGCTTCTGGGCTTTATTTGTTCTCTGGTACTGAATAAATTACTGTTAGCCTTTTAATCAGTTGTTAATCATGCGGAGTGAGTTCACCTCTGGGCCGGTCTCCTCCTGAATTTAGGAGGAGATTTTACTGTTCAGAGGCAGGCAGAAAGCAATTTCACGTTTTACTGTGGAGAAGTGGGTAAGGGTGGCTCGCGGTAGGACAGAAAGATTTACGCACAACATCGGGCGATACACATTGTACTAAAGAGGGAGATAAGCAAAAAGACATATACGTTACAGAGGAAACAAAGACAGAGGCAGAGCAAGGGAAAAGAAGAAAAATAGTGGCCTCACACGAGAACTGTGCTATGTTCTGTGCATACAGGAAGCAGGAGGAGAAGCTCACAGCATTTGAGATGAAGACAGAGCAGAGACTATGCCATACAAAAACAAGGCCAGAGAAGACATGCTGCACATTGTCTACAGTGATGAAGCTACACCTGTTTTCAACTACTATTTTTTATAAAGTTTGAGTATTGATTTTTATTAATAGGATTAGTCATTCCTCAGGAAAATCTCTCATCATCAACTTCGTGTAGAATATTTCAACTAGCATACACTTACATTGTTCGACACTTGTCAGCACAAGTATCCCTACTTTCTGTTCCAATAATAAACAGAGTCAGTTCTTGCAAAAAAAAAAAGTATTAGATGATGGATGGTATTCTAGCCTGCTTCCATCTACAACAAAAGCTTTTTAGTCGTCCATTTATTACCATGTTGGGTACGCTCTAAACATAACAGTTAGGAATGAATCATTTATGAACACCATTGTCTACTTATTGAAACATGACAACCAAGGTCGAGAACAAACTTCATCCCCAAAGAAGAAAACAAGTGAACACTGGATCTAATGAAATGTGATTTCTATGAATATGTCCCATACTCCTGCTGGCACTCAGCAACAAGAATCCCCGGTCATCCATTTTCTTACAACTCTTCCCCTCCCCTCTTACATTATCAGTTCAGTTCTCGCTCTTTGGCCATTCATGCCCTTCCACGTTTCCTGTAATTATTTTTCACATCCCTCCATTTTAAGCAAGACAAGCGACAGGGCATACTGAGGCTGGTTACTAGCTTTCTACGTGCTGATAGCTTAGCCAGTACATGCATGCCGACTGCTAGCCAGGAAACCATATAAATGGCTAACTGTAGAGTTCATGCTCAGTAGAAGTGCTAACTTGGTTTGCTTTCCCCTGTACATAGCTGCTAATTTTTGCAGAACTTACAGAAATCTAAGCATGTTGAAGATGGTCACCTGATGAATAGGGATGAAGAAAAAGTAGAGGCATTCAATGCTTTTTTTTGTCTTAGTCTTTAATAAAACTGACAGACCTTGGGCTGCTCAGTCCCCTGAGTTGGAGGGCCACGAGTGTGGGAACAATGACTTCCCATTTGCGGACACTGAAATTGTCAGGGACCAGCTGTATCAGCTGAACGTTCACAAGTCCATGGGGCCGACTGGGATTCATCCTAGGGTACTGAAGGAGCTAGCGGGTGTTACGGCAGGACCCCTCTCGATCATCTACCGATGAGGTCTTGGGAGTCCGGGGAGGTCCCCACTGACTGGAAGCCAGCCAACATTATTCCAATTTACAAAAAAGGCCTCTGTGAATACTTTTCATGGTGCATCAACCCATCACTCCACAGAAATACAACAAGTTTTGGCAGAAAATGTCAGTCTAAATAGAAGAACACTACTACTGTGCAAACATCTTGACTTTGTAACCTCAGCTGGGGAGCAAGAGTGAATTCTTCCTGAAGACTTGCTTTGCTGATTGATGATCATGCTCCAGTAAAGACATAATCCAAAAGTCCTCCAAGAGTCCAGGAAGTCTAACAGTTTCTTTCTAATGAATTTTAAATAGTTGCATGACACACCTCCATATCACTGATGCATCCATGCTATCATTTATATTGTATTCAAAGAGTAAATAAACACATAAGTAGAAAGATTTTTCATGTGAGCTGCATGTAAGCATTTAGAATTTTGTAACATTTTTAATATTCATAGTATTCAGACCAAACTTTTTTCTCAGGAAGCCAAACTGTAGCTGCACATACTGATTCTGTGCCCAGTAAGAACATACAGAATACCACCATATCAAGGAGCACCACCTCTTTTTCCAAGTCCCGATTATTAGGTTTTATAACAAGAAAGGAATTTTTTTTATGATCAAGTTCATCCTTTCTCATAGAGGAATACAAAGAAAACTATGACAGAGTACTGAAAGGCAGTCATGAAAAACAATACGATGATTCCTGTAACAAAATTGTATTGCAAAACATAAACTGTCATGCCTGTGTGTTTTCTTGGACACATCCCATTTTCTGTCCAGAAATTTTGCCCAGTAGTTTTCAAGAATTTTCTTTTTTTTCAGATGTTGGTATTCCTACAGTGTGCGTGAATGGTAGCTTCAACTGGAGTTACTGTTGTATGTTAGGAATGTTGTACCTTTGGTTATTTCTGGATATTTTTGAGCAAATGAGATACTGTCTGTACTTCACAGCAGAGCAAATATTTCTTAGAAACATGAGAATTATTGTATATATACTCTACAAGTGATTTGTTCAAGTACAGTTACTCAGATGCATCCCCAAAACTCTAAAATTACAGCACAACAAGCTGTAAAAACACCAATAACAACACAATACTGCAAATTAAATCTCCTCTCCCAAAAATTCAGGTGGCTATAAATTCAGGAAAGCATAGTATGTTCCAGTTTAAAACACAGATAATGTTAATACAATCCCGTTGTACTAAAATTCACCTGCCATTCAAGAACAAGAAAACATTCAGTTTAATAAAATGAAAGCAGAAAATTTTAAATCAGTTAAAATAATTTTGCTGACACATTGTAAAATTAGCCAAGGGTTATTTCTGCAAAGTAGCATTACTTATAAGTAACATTATTTGTAACTATTGTTAAGAACAAGTGTTTAGCTTGTTCTTAACAAGCTAAAGAACAAGGATACAAGCTATACTTTGCAGTTTATATAGGTAATGTCAACATCTAGGTTTACAATAGTATAAATAACAAATGCATACCAACAATTACGGAAAGAAAGATTATAAATCCATGTTCAGAATTTGAGATTTTAAAGTATTTTTAATTGATTAAGAAGATCATTTCAGCATGAAATCCCTACCCTTGTACTTCAGAGTGCTTCCCCAAGGTCCTTTGATTCCTGACACTATTTAAAAGAAGATTTAAAAAGATTTAAGTTTTTTCTTGATTCAGTATGGCAATTTCTATGTAACAAAACATTTCTTTCTGTATTAAAATCAGTGAAATATTACTGCAAATAAACAAAGAATTTAAACTAGCTTAATAAAAATAATTTATATAGCTAACATGGCTTACTGTTCTTTGCATGGCACTAGGACCCAGCCTACTGAGCTTCTAAACAAGCTATCTACTATTTCAGGTCTTTTTGCATTTCCAAAACCAAACCAAAACAAAAAAGATAACAAATGGAATATGATTTTATTCTAGGTCACATTGTCTAGATAATTACTCAGATGCTAAAACACAACTATAAGATATTAAAAAATTGCTCTTATAGTCTGAAATTGGGCTGAATAATTAAATCAGTTATTAAAGAATAACAATATTTAAATGGTTGCTTTATTGGTGAGATGTGGTTGTTATTCATAGCAATTACTAACTGATTAATAAATGTATCTTTTATATTGCAATTACTTAGAATAGAGTAGAGTAGAGTAGAGTAGAGCAGAGCAGAGCAGTTCAGTTGGAAGGGACCTACAATGATCATCTGGTCCAACTGCCTGACCCCTTCAGGGCTGACCGAAAGTTAAAGC